ATTTTTTCCAAAATTAAAATACTTAAAATTGTAGCTAATTAAATGTAGTTTTTAAGGAAGTGAACAGTAATTGAAATTTAAATGAAGAAATGTTAAAAACCACTTCCCAACTTGACAAATAACAGCACAAAATTTAAAAGCCAATGCATGCGTGGATGAAACTTCGGTACTGTGGAATACTTTATCTACATATATTTACAACTGATAATTACATTACTATATTACACTAGCCAATACACGCTTGCTTTGCGGTGCCTTAAAACACCTTTCGAACTGTAAAACAATCATTCAATCGGTTAAGAAGCACGGCATCAAATGGTTCCTAATTAAAAAGAATTATACTAAGTAAATGAACTTTTTCCGAAAAGCTCAGTCCTTAGTACAGCGATCTATATACATATATTCCAATCCGTTCAGCCCTTTTGCGTGATTGAGTAACAAACATATAAACTCTCACATTTATAATATTAGTAATAGGTATAGATAGAATAGATGCCACGTCCTTCTTTCCAATAACCTTCAGTTTTCTACATGAGTATGGTACTCATTTAATATACTACATCCGTTCTAAATTTCAGTACTCCAACGAAAATACTTTCAGAGATATGCGGTGTCAAAAATGCAGCATGTATAGGTGGTGCCACGCCCACTTTTCCAATATTATATTTTCCTGTGGTAAAATGGAGCCTATATTTTAAGTTAGAGCTCTAGAAATACATCGGGGGAAACTGCATTTAATTCCATGCATAGGTTTTATGGAGAAAGGGACAAAAGTTAGTAGTTACTTCCTAACTGGTAAGTTTCATTAATTTAATAGAGAAAAGTGTAATTAATTTTAACATTTTTTCGAGTTTTGGCGTTGCCACAAATTAAAGGCAGTAGTGGAACATGACGTGACCAACTTCTACTCCTAGTACGTTAAAATTAAGAAGACTGATTTGACAGCCGAACGGAGCATAGAGAATCTAAATTTAAATCGACATTTCCCCTACCCTTCGACATTGCTGCTAGAGCTTAGCATCTTCGGAAATTATTTATTTCTTTCAAATAGCAACTGCGCACATGAAAGTATTTCCCTACCTAGCATATAAAAACGATATTGTAAAAACTTCAAAAAAATTTTAAAGTATGTCAGACCTGATTGTACTCAACATGGCTTTACTTAAAACTAATTTACTAGTTAAAATATAAATCAATTCGAAATCTGTTAGCTGTTTTAAAAACCTCATCAAATTAGCTACAATCTTAAGTATTTTAATTTTAGAAAAATTACTGCTATCTGGAAAATCCTTACAAATATAGTTGAAAATTCGTGAAGAATAATACCGTATAGTCACTTTAGGCGCGTGGGTAACTTTCTGGTTAGTTGTACTAAAAAACAGAGTACGCCATTCGCTTTAGCGGCTAATTCTTTTTTTCGTTTTTGTGCAAGATTAATGTTTTTTGATATAAGGACCTAAGCCTACAGCAAAACAGTCTTATAAAGCACGGATTTCGGAGGAGCTCATCCAGTTTTTGCAATAAGGAATACTTTTTTTTTCATTTTGTTAAGTTCTTAGCATCCTATTTTCATATTCTTCCGCCGGAGGGAAGATCTGAAATACTTTAGCAAGATGGATGGAGAAAATGAGGCATCTATTGTACATATTTAGATTTAATATAACTATGGTATTTGGGTTACTAGAATCCTTATAGATAGTTTTGAAATCACATTCGAATATACACAGCTCTGGAATACTTGATTCCAGAAATAAAAGGCAACAATTACTGATTAACTTCTGCTCAAAAAAATAAAAGGCAAATTTTATCTTTTATTTTTGCCTTATAAAAATAAAAAGCAGAAGTAATCGGTATTATTTGCTCAAAATAATTAAAAGCAAAACGTATTTATAATTGTTTGCTTTTTATTATAAGATTCATAACCGGTACGTTCTCTGCTCTAAATGCATGCGCAAGGTATCGTAATTGAAAAAGCATTTTCGCACGTTCGATAGTTTGACATGGGAGCGTCGATTACGTACTTATGTTAATATTTTTGAAAATCTATTAACGATTTTGAACTATTTTATATTTAAATCAGCGCAAGAAACCATTACAATTGGGGACAAAGTTTGGACTGCCACATCGCAGGATCGGTTGCGTCTACAATTATTAATCAACTATGATAAGAACTCGCATCAAACCTACAATAATGTTCCAACTAACATCACTTTGGGCATGAAGGTGAACTACATCGATATTCATGAGATAAATGGAAAAATGGTTTTGCACGCATGGCTAAAGATAGTAAGTAAATTACATAAAATTTGTCATTTCTATGTGCGAAGGATTTATAAATTTCTATGTATTTATCTGGTCGAAACTTTTTGTGGTACCATTTGATACTTCTGCGTGAACAACTCAGTTGACACGACATTTTTCGTAAACAGTATGTAAATACGTATGTACATATGTATACACTTTAGAGCGGTTGAAACAATTTTTTTTTAAAAATTCATAAACGCTACCTCAAATTATTGTTATTTGTGATAAAAAAAAGAAACGTGTTTTTTTATTTTGAAAAAAAAAAGTTTTCTTAGAGGTCGCGCTGGTCGGTTTTTTATAAAAACGCTGATGTTCTCAATTTTTTTACTTCCTTGACATGTTAAAATGCAGCTAAAAATTTGTTTTTTACATATAACTACTCTGGTATTATTGGTGAACATTCCCTTAATTACATACCTGTCTTGGGCAGTTAGAATGGGCCTAGGCCCGAAAATATGCTCTCGAAAAGAGACTAGTAAAATTAAAACGTTGATACTGAACGATTTACGCATTGTCATGGGTTGGAACTTGTTACCAGGAAGTTTCTGGGGTTGCTAATTAGGGATCTGAAGTAAGTTTTTCGAAATTCAAAATGGCGGATCCAATACGGCGATCAAATTAAAAAAAAGTACTAAAATTAAAACGTTGATACTGAACGTTTTAAACATTGTCAAGGGTTAAAACACGTTTCCAGTGGGTTTCTGGGATTGCTGATTACGAATCTGATGTCAGATTTTCAAAATTCAAAATGGCGGTTAAGGGTTTCAAACAAATCCAATCATTTTTTTAAAGTTGGTCGCCATTTTGGATCCACCAGATTCGTAATCGGAGACCCCAAAAACTCTCGAGTGCCGGGTTTCGAAAAAATCCAATCATTTAAAATAAAATGGACCGCCATTTTGGATCCGCCATTTTGAATTTCGAATAACTGACTTCAGATTCCTATTTAGCAACCCCAGAAACCCCCTGGTAACAATCGGTTCAGTATCAACGTTTTAATTTTACTAGTGTCTTTTCAAGAGCATATTTTCGGGAACTAGACCCATTCTAATTGTCCAAGACAGGTGTGTAATTAAGGGAAAGTTCCCCAATAATACCAGAGTAATTATATGTAAAAACCACATTTTTAGCTGCATTTTAACATGTCAAGAAAATAAAAAAATTGAGAACATCAGCGTTTTTATAAAAAACCGACCAGCGCGACCTCTAAGAAAACTTTTTTCAAAATAAAAAAATACGTGTCTCTATTTTTATCACAAATAACAATATTCTGATGTAGCGTTTATGAATTTCCAAAAAGAGTGTTTTTATGAACCACTTTAATACACATAATAAACATATGCGCAAATCCATTTGAACAACCTAACAAGAAATTCGTTCCATTGTGCATACTTACAAGTGAAAAAAGAATCAGATGTTTTCCAGATATGCCTCACAGCTGAGATCACCTGATTTATTTGATACAGGGTAACCCTCAATATCTATAAAAAAACTTTAAACGAACTCTGACAAATCTCTGACAAAAGTTATATTAAGTGTAGAAGTCATTGGCCGAAATGCTTTAAAATATTAAAATGTCATATAAACATCGGCATTCATTTAATTCACTGCGTATTTTGACAATTTTTAAGTTTATTTCAATAAATTATGTCCTTTTTAAAAGCTTTTAATTAACTTGCCTTTTAATCAATTTTTGGACAACTTCCCGTTGACTTAGAGACTTGAAGCTTCACAGATGGCTCAGAACCCGATGACAATGCAACATGAAGGATGAGCTTATCCGATAGGTGGCGCAGGAGTCGAGATATTTGCAAAACCTTTATTTATAGTCCGATTTAGTGCATATTTAGAAAGTATATTAACATCATGAAAAGGAATCTCCTCTAAAAATTTTTCCGATAGGTGGCGCACAGTGTACTTTTTGACCACTCTTAGCGAATAAATCGTAGCACTTCCGGTAGAAGCAACATTTTGATATGAATCAAATTGGTTTGGAAAGTTTATGAAATTCTCTTTCAAGGAAAAATATTGCCATAGTCCCACAATTAATTTTTGATCTTGAAAAAATTGGTCAAAAATAGTGTTCTTCAAAAAAAACATGCAAAACCCACCGGATTTCTTAAAAACAAATAAAAATCGTATGTTCTGTTATGCTTATATTATAGATTTTGAGACGAGTAATATGATCCCGTTATCTTAGAAACCAAAAAAATAAAAATTTTAGTCATAAATTTAAGAAAAAGATGGTGCCCTGGTATGTTTTTTTTAAAATTTTTTATGATTTTCTTGTAACTATGCATATTTTTCACGTAATTAAATGCCTCAGAGAGCAAGTAGTTTGTAGTGATAAACAAGACCTTTAATTTGAGATATAGAACAAATCTCCAGACCCTCCGAGAGCCAAATTATAACTATTTTCATGTCAAACCTCGAGATTTTTAGTTTGTCAATGTTATTGTGGCTTGTTAACATTTTATTTTTAATATTTTATTGAGCTTTGTACCACGATTGTTTATTAGGAAAAATTGAAAAATTGAGATTTTTACTCTGAAAATTAAAAAAAATTACTATCTACCACATTTGTTGTCCCATTAATTATGCATACTAGGGCTGGGAGTTCTACCTGGATGTTTTGACTATCCGGATAATCCGGATTTCGAATACCTGAATAAAAAATCCGAATATCCGCATATCCGAATAGTGTATAGATATCCGGATAACCGAGTAGTGTATTTATATATTTATATTCAAATATTTCAATAGTCTATAGATATCCGGATAAGCGAATAGTGGGTTGATATTCGAATATGGCAATACATAGTGTATTGATATCGGGATGTTAAGAATACTCGCATAACAATATTCGTTATAATAGTTACATATGCGGATAACAAAATTAACGTATATTAACCGGATATTCGTACTATTCGGATTTTAACCATATACACGAATATTCGAACGGATATCCGGATATTCGAATACACTGATGGCCCCAGTCACATTATAACGACTTTAAAGCCACACTTCGAAAGTGAGGTAACGAGATTTTTACTCTGAAAATTAAAAAAAATTAAACCACCATATTTTTCCATTGGTCACAAAAACAGCAACAGTGTAGCATAGGAAATAAAATTATAATACTTATTAAACGTTTTATCTGTAAAAGTGGATTAACATTTTTAAACTATTTGAAAAACATCTTACCAGCTAAGGTAAGTTCATTGCAATTTTTGATAGATATGATATGATATTATACTAAATATTACACGTGTAAAAAAAGCGTTAATACTGGTAGAAAAATGGTGAAACTCGAAAATGCTAATGTAAGAACATTAAAAAAATGAGCTAAAAAATTAAGGCATCAACTAAATGATATAGAAGATGTAAAAAATGTGATGAAAGTCGATACCGATGACCAAAAAACTGCAGAAAATACTAATGTTATTCGGCATGCAAAGGACTCAGCCTTAGCATTTTACTCAGAATATGATTATTCTGTTGAAGAATATAAAGCTTTAGTTAGTGATACCATTTTTAGAAATTGTCCGATAAACACCAGTTATGGTATCATCAAAAAGGCAATGGTAGAATGTCAGCCTAAAAATTTTAAAGTACGTGAAATAGAAGTTTTCGTGCCTCTTCAAAACTTTTTAAATAAATCGGTTGAAAGACTATGTGAAAGCGTTGCTTTGGACTGGAGCGAAGAAGCCTTATATAAATTGGAATTAACTTGCACTTTATGATTTGATAGTTCTTCCAGTTACGTTAATCCTCACCACGCTTTTATTAGTAGCCTCATATTAATACAATTAAGGCACATTAATTCAGAGCAATTTTCTTGGTTGAATTCGACTCCGCAAAGTATTAGATTTTGTCGGCCCTTGCGTGTAGCCATTGAGAAAAAGGATGAGGCTGCAACTTTAAGGGAACATGTTCGACTAAAAAAAGAAATCGAAGAGCTTCTTTCATATCGCTTTAAAATGTCAAATGGAAAATCTGTTAAAGTACAATATGATGTCCGTGAAACCCTACTTGATTGGAAATGCCTTAATACAATACTTGGTAATAAAGCCTCAAGAAGATGCCCAATGTGTTTGCGCACTGCACATCAGTTTTCGAATCACCTCACAGACAAGCTTACTCCTCAAGAATCAAATCTTAAGCATGGACTAGGGCTGCTACATTGTGAAATAAAAGTATTCGATCATTTCCTAGGCCTTGGATATCGTCAGGAAATTCAGTCATGGGATGTGCGACAAAGTCTGAAAGGTAAGATTGCAACAACTTATTGAATTTTTACGAAGACAGCTATTGATTTTTCATTGAATAATTAAGCCAAATGAATTTTTTTTACAGCCGGTTTTCAGGATCGACAAAAAATTATTCAGAAGAGGGTATATGATGAACTAAATGTTCGGGTTGACCAAATCCTACAAGGCCATGGTACAACAAATACGGGAAATGTGGCAAGGAGATGTTTGCAATCCCCCGAATTATTTGCCGAAGCGTTAGAAATCAACCCTCAATTAGTTATTAATATGAGCAGAATAGTATCAGACTTTAAATCTAAAAAAAAATCAATTTAGATAGGCTTGAGAAATTTAGTTGGAAAACATACTGCATGTACTACAAGTTCTACCCATGTGCCCGAATGGCTCCCACATTACACAAGCTTTTAAAACATGGATGCGAAATTGCTCGGCAGCTTCCTCTTCCTGTGGCATTCTATGCCGAAGACGCCAACGAAGCCTGGCATAAATACTATAGAAAAAATATGGTGGATCACGCTCGACAAAACAGCAGAGAAAACCGTTTACTGGATGTATTCAATCGGGCCGTGCACATGAGCGACCCGAAAATATCTATGGTTTTCATTGACCGTAGAGTGGGAAGGGATAACAGAATGAAATCAGAATTTCAGAATATAAGTTAACACCTGCTAACGCGCTCATGGGAAACATTCCGTTCTCATGTAAAATGCTGACGCTATGTCTGCAAATATGCGCGTGACAAAAATGAAAACAACGGCAGTAACGGAGTAGCGATCCACCTGCAACTGCAGTCGCTGCAACCACAACAACAACGAAAGCACTAGCAATAGCGAATTGGCGATCCACCTAAAAGTACAGTCGCTGGAACAACAACAACACCAAAGATATCAACTACTACAGTCTCTGCTACAGTTGGGATTAAGTAGGGTAGAGTAAGCTTTGTCTTAACTCTAATATTCAGTCTTTTGCCAGGCTCTTAGCTCGTTACTACCGCATATGCGGTGCAAATAAAGTTACGATCAAAATAGATATCAAACCTACATAGTAGGTAGTGTTATTATTTATTCGGAACCCGAAATGTATAACTGGCGCCCATCGGTGGGCCACGCGCGGTTTTAAAATATCCTTGTGAAAGGACAAATCGTGACGTGGTTGTGGGTTCGGACCCACCAACAATTCCAAACTTTATTGAAGACGAGAGGATCGGACATCTGGAGCAGCCAAACTTTCTCGGCCAAGGGACCAGCAGCAGCTAACTGACAATTAACTGGGAACACCGTAGATTAAATAAGAAAATGCTTGTAAGTAGAGTGCCCGACCTCCAAACAAATTAAGCAAGTGAATTTTAATAGGAAAGTGATTGTAATTGCAAATTAAAGAATTTAGAATTTTATTAAAAACTTTATCGTCTGTGAAGCCAACTAGCTAAGCACTTAGGCTCGCTGTATTTGTTAATTAAATATAGAAATATAAATATAGGTATGGATGAAATGCAACTTCATGCAGTGGTCAGTGCCGCCGTAAGAGTGGCTACTGAACAGACTAAAAAAGATTTTCAGACTGTGATCGACGAAATGACGGAGAGACTTTCAAGGATAGAGACACCGACGAAAGTGGAAGAGTACCAAGAAATTGCATTTGATTCCAATATTGAATGCAACGTTTCATTAGATGTAGTCAAGTCATTGCCAGAATTTTCTGGTGACCAGACTAGATACGTATCGTGGCGTCAGGCGGCTCATGCCGCTTACAAAATTTTCGAATGCTATCCTGGGAGTTGCAAACACTACCAGGCCGTGGCAATTATTTGTAACAAAGTTACCGGGCGTGCTGATTCTGTGCTCTCTTCGTTTAACACTGTTCTGAATTTTAAGGCTATTATAGCCCGACTTGACTTTTCTTACGCGGATAAAAAACCTATTCACGTTATTGAGCAGGAAATGTCCACGCTCCGTCAGGGAAGCCTGACAATCAATGACTTCTATGACGAAGTCGAAAAGAAATTGACCGCCATAACCAACAAAACTCTTATGACTTATGGAAGCCAGCGACAGGTGATAGATTCATTGATGGTTAAATATCGTCAAGACGCTCTCAGGGTTTTCATATCCGGTCTTAACAGACCATTATGTGATATCTTGTTTTCATCTAGACCGAAAGACATGCCAACAGCGCTAGCTCTAGCACAGGAATTGGAGTCAAATCAGGCTCGATCCATATTCGCCTCAAAATTTGCTGATAGTAAAAATTCAGATAATCGTGTGAACAGACCAACAAATATCAGGTCCTATCCTACTCCCAATAGCTCTCATTTTAGCAGATTAACAAGTGATCAGGCTCAACAAAAAGTTACTCCTATGGAGATTGATCCTAGCCTTTCTAAGCTCAGGCATCCTACCCAACAAGCATTGCCCTTCTCTCGTAATCGCCCGACCTACCCTTCAGGCAGGACTCCATTTGGGAATCCGCTCCCAACCAGTGCCACTGCCACGAATGCAAAGAGACCACACGGTAGCGACCAATTTAATTACAA